GAAGAGGATGCACGAAGAGGGGGTAACAAACAATTCGCTCAGGAGTGTGTTGCCCTATAATCCTGTAATTGAGCCGTTTGCCACATGATTTTGTACAGCATGGAACAAATGTTCCACTGTGGTGTTTAGGCTCAAGGGACGCACCCAAGACAGCCGTGCGCCCGAGGAAAAGTGAAGTGCGAATATCTGTGTAAAGTGAAAGGGTCCGGAACGTACCCGTAAAGCGTTTTATTTTCCCTTTACATAATCCCTCAGCTGTACAAAAAATCCCTCTGTTTCCCTTTATGAATTCCCTCAATCTTGTCGGTTGACGAGGAAATAACAGAAAGTTGTGATTCATTTCACGCACCGTTGCCGTATTGCACGGCTGCATTTTCCGGAGAGTTTCCTTCACAAGCCTGGTGCTATCGAAGCGCTGCGTTTTCCGACAATGAGGACAGTAAAGGGAGGTTCAATAGCACCAAATTTTCTAGATGGTTTCCCTTAGGAAAATCTGCGCTATCGAACGGTTGCGTTTTCCAGACCTGAACACAGCGGTTCGATAGCACCGAGTTTTCCGGAAGGTTTCCATAAGAAAATTCGGTTCTATTGAACCGCTTTGTTCTCCATTAAGGTCTGGGGAGCTTCATCCCTTCTTCTTGAAGCGTACGCTCCCTTCCATTTTTTGTTTGAAGAGCAAGAGGAGATAGTCTTCTTCCCACTTGGAGGACCCTCTCTTCTTCTTGTTGTAGGCTGGGGGAGCTCTATCCTTTCGTGCTAGGAGTGGGAGCCCTTCAGTCTTCTTCAAAGACAATGACGGCTTACCAAAAAGGTTAGGGAGGTCTCTTCTAGAAAAATCTTCTTCCTCGTGAAGTTCGCGGGCCCTATCTGGCCCTATCTGCTATTTTGAGATGGGGCCCTCTTCTTACTGTTTATGTTGGAGGAAGCTCTCTTCTGGTACAGGATGAGGTAGAGAACTTATAAGTTCTTGTGGAAGACTGGGCGAGCCCTGTCCATATTTACTAGGACCAGGAGCGAGCTGTCTTCAGTCTTCTTAAGATTAAGATGAAGACTTACCAGGAGGTCAAGGAGCTCTCTAGACAGAAGCTCTCATCTCGTACTAAGAATAACTTGGAGTGAGCTATCTTCCGGTTTCCAGAGGATGAGGTACAGGTCTTCTCATCTCCTTTTGAGGCCCCGGCGAGGACCACACTTCTCTTGTCAAGTTTTTTGAAGTTGGGAAGAGCTCCATCCTTTTTTCTTGATTGTAAGCTCTCTCCATGTCTTGAAGCGGAGGAGGGGAGAGGAGCTCTCGCCCCTGACTAAGAGAGAAAAGAGTTTTCTTCTTGTCGACAGAGAGGCAAGCAAAGCTCTCTTCCTTCTCGAGAAGTTAGAATGGCCTCTCGTTTGAGTTGTTAGGAGGCGAAATTGAAGGGAGCTTTCTTCTTGTTTTCGATGATAAGGTAGAGAAATAATACATTGTTTTTAAAAGCGGGGGGGCCTCTGTCCTCTCTTGCTGGGAGCGAGGACTGAGAGGCGACTTCCAAGAGCTAATGGAGCTCTCTGCTTCTTTGAGATGCTGCGGTGGAGGACCTTCCGGCAGATCTCTTCTTTTACGCGTAGAGAAAACTTTGCCCATGACGAGGTAGAGGAGCTAGGTTCGTGTTTGAGACTGGAGGGGCTTTGTCTTGTTTTGCTAGGAGCGAGCTCCCTTCAGTTCGCTTCAGAGGAGACGGAGATTTACCAAGAGGTCAAAGAGTTCTTGTAGACAGCAAGTCTCTTACAAGGTAGGTTGGAGGGAAATCTTTTCTTGCTTTGAAACATGAGGGGGGGACTTACCTTTTGATTTTGAAGGCTGGGGGAGAACCAGATGTCTCTTTTTGAGCTTGGGGGCCATTCCGCCCTGTCTTGAACGTATGCTCTCTTCCGTTTTTCTTTTGAATAAGCAAACGGGATAGTCAGGATCTCGATCTCTCCCTTATCTAGACAGAAAGGAGGTCTCTTCTTGCCGACTGAGCGGCAAACGAAACTCTCTTCTTTCTCGATAGTTTGGCAGGGCCTGTCTGCTTTTGTGAGATGGAGCTCTCTTCTTTCTCGATGGTTTGGCGGGGTCTGTCTGTATTTTAGATTTGGAGCTCTCCTCTTTCTCGTGAACTTGGAGGACCCTCTCTTCTTCTTGTTGTAGGCTGGGGGAGCTCTATCCTTTCGTGCTAGGAGTGGGAGCCCTTCAGTCTTCTTCAAAGACAATGACGGCTTACCAAAAAGGTTAGGGAGGTCTCTTCTAGAAAAATCTTCTTCCTCGTGAAGTTCGCGGGCCCTATCTGCTATTTTGAGATGGGGCCCTCTTCTTTCTGTTTATGTTGGAGGAAGCTCTCTTCTGGTACAGGATGAGGTAGAGAACTTATAAGTTCTTGTGGAAGACTGGGCGAGCCCTGTCCATATTTACTAGGACCAGGAGCGAGCTGTCTTCAGTCTTCTTAAGATTAAGATGAAGACTTACCAAGAGGTCAAGGAGCTCTCTAGACAGAAGCTCTCATCTCGTACTAAGAATAACTTGGAGTGAGCTATCTTCCGGTTTCCAGAGGATGAGGTACAGGGCTTCTCATCTCCTTTTGAGGCCCCGGCGAGGACCACACTTCTCTTGTCAAGTTGATTGAAGTTGGGAAGAGCTCCATCCTTTTTTCTTGATTGTAAGCTCTCTCCATGTCTTGAAGCGGAGGAGGGGGGAAGAGGAGCTCTCGCCCCTGACTAAGAGAGAAAGAGTTTTCTTCTTGTCGACAGAGAGGCAAGCAAAGCTCTCTTCCTTCTCGAGAAGTTAGAATGGCCTCTCGTTTGAGTTGTTAGGAGGCGAAATTGGAGGGAGCTTTCTTCTTGTTTTCGATGATAAGGTAGAGAAATAATACATTGTTTTTTAAAGCGGGGGGGGGCTCTGTCCTCTCTTGCTGGGAGCGAGGACTGAGAGGCGACTTCCAAGAGCTAATGGAGCTCTCTTCTCTTGCCACGAATAACTTGTCGGGTCGCTCTTCCTGTTTCAAAGCATGAGGTGGAGGAGTTCTCTCTTTCTTTTTGAAGATTGAGGGGCGGACCAAGCTACCTTGTTTGCAGGTTGAAGGGAGCTCCACCCTCTCTTCAGCGCATGCCCTCCTCCATCTTTTGAAGAAACCAAGTGGGCAATCAAGATCCTTTTCCCTTACCAAGAGAGGAGGTCTCTTCTTGGCGGCTGAGGGGTAAACGCAGCTCTCTTCTTTCTCGATGGTTTGGAGGGGCTTGTCTGTCTTTTTACGATGGAGCTCCCTTATGTCTCAACAAATTGGAGGAAGCTCGCAGTGACCTCTTGTCGAGGATGAGGTGAGGACTTTTCTTGTTGGAAGCTAGGGCAGCTCTGTCCTCCCGCGCTAGGAGCGAAATCTTTTCAATCTTCTTGAATCGAACACTTTCTTCTTGCTTTGGAGCATGAGGTGGGGAGACTTACCTTTCCGTTTCGAAGGCTGGGGGGAGGACGAGATTTCCTTTTTTGAAGCCATTGAAGCCTGGGAAGAGCTCCACCCTTTCTTGAGCGTATGTTCTCTTCCGTCTTTCGTTTTAAAAGTAAGCGGAGTAGTCAGGATCTCGATCTTTCCCTTTGCTAGAGAGAAAGGAGGGGGTTTCTTGCCGACTGAGGGGTAAACAGAGCTCTCTTCTCTCTAGATAGTTTGGCAGGGCCTGTCTGCTTTTGTGAGATGGAGCTCTCTTCTTTCTCATGAACTTGGAGGAGGCTCTCTTCTTCTTTTGTAGGCTTGGGGAGCTCTGTCCTCTCGTGCTAGGAGTGGGAGCCGTTCATTCCTCTTCAGATAAAATGAAAACTTAGCAACAGGTTCACAAGACCAGCTGGGCTCTTTCCTTGTTCCAGAGGACGAGGTAGAGGGCTGCTCGTTTTGTGTTGAACATTGAGAGGAGGACCGGACTCTTCTTACAAAGGTCAAGGGAGCTCTGTGCTCACTTTTTGAAAATTACCTTTCTTCTATCTCTTGAAGGAAGGAACATGGGACGTCGAACTCTTCTCTCTCTTATTGTCGATTAAAAAGGCAGCCGGAGCTCTTTTCTTTCTCGTGAAGTTGGAATGGGCTCTCTGCTTCTTTGAGATGCTGCGGTGGAAGACCTTCCGGCAGATCTCTTCTTTTACGCATAGAGAAAGCTTTGCCCATGACGAGGTAGAGGAGCTAGGTTCGTGTTTGAGACTGGAGGACTCAGAAGCAGTCAACCGACCGTTGAGGGGAAGGGTTCTGTTGAACATGGTTGCGCGTGAGTTTGACACGGACTCTACGTACGGAGCTGTGGTTTCTGAGCTTGAGCTGTTCTCCTTGCACCACCCCAGGGCTCCGTTGCTTCGCTCAAGGCCTGGAGGGATAACGTCCGATACATTTTGGGCCAGCTCCCCACGTCAGAAAGGCCAGCGGAAAAGCTGATGGCAAAGTGGTTGTTTGAAAGACTGAAGAAAGTACCAGCACTTCGTAGACACACGGACCGCGTGCGCGATGCTGCTGAGGGTACTCCGGAGCGTTCGTTTGAGCGGCTTTGGTGCCGTCTTGATCGTACAATCCTGGAAAATCAGCAAGAACAAAACCTACAGTCCATCCAAGAGGCTTTGAAGAAAGGGCCGAAGCGTGAACAGGCAGGCGGTGCAGCAGCACCGACGGCAGAGCAGAAGCAAAGGGAAGCGGAAGCAGCGAAGGCAAAAGCGGCAGCAGCCAAAACAGCACCCAGCAAAGCAGACGCCAAAGGTGGCAAAGGTAACAAGGACAACAAAGGCAAGGGCAAAGGGCAAGGCAAAGATGATGGCAAGAAAGGGGGTGGTAAGTCATCTGGCCCGAACGTGAAGAAAGCTTTGTCTGAAGGTCTCTGTTTGTTCTTCCAGAGGAGCGTGTAAGAGAGACAACTGTCCTTTCAAGCACGAGCTCGTTGTTCCGGCCAACCCAGCCCCAGACGCTAAGGCCAAGGCAGCTGCCCCAAAGGCACCCACCAAGGCAGCAGTAGCACTGGTCATGGCGGCAATGGCCTCAGGAGCAGCGGCCCTTTCACAAGGACCCACCTGCACTTTGGATGTCATCGCGGACACCGGTGCGGGAGAACACTTGGGTTCGAAGGAGGCTTTCCGGGAACAAAGGGTCTCCGAGAGTGTGTTTGATGCGTTGTGCGGCACATCATCACAGAGCATGGCCTTTGACGCAGGCGGTGGTAAGAAACACTCCAGTGAATCCATCGGCCTGTGGTCTAGCTCCTTGAAGCGACTAGCCAACATGTTCGTACTCAAGAGTTGTCCGTTGGTCTACTCGATAGGACAATTCGTCATGAACCAAGGGTTTAGCTTCATGTGGGAAGCCGGTGAGCTGCCCATCTTGATCCCGCCTGCAGTTCCCTACAACCTCGAGGTAGACCGAGACCAATGTAGGACTGCTGATCGCATTGAACACTGCGTACCTGTTTTTCGGGAAGAAGTAGAACTTGTTTCTGGTGCCCCCGTCGTCTGTGGAAGTGAAGACGCTAGAGAACCACCTGACGACTGGAGGCTAGCCTCAGGTAAGGTGAGTTGGCAGGACCTGCGTGACGGAAGAGTCTTGGTGCAGAGACGTGTTCCCACTTTCGCGAAGCCGGATGTGGAAGAGCTAGACTTGCGCACGACTTGGCTAGTAAACACCACCGAGTGGTTTCCGCTAGAAAACCAAGTGAAGTGGCAAGAACTGGAAAGCCCCGAAGCTGAACTTCCCTACATTGCTCACAGCCTGATTACTTTCTTCGAATCTTCGGCTTCGTCTGCGCGTCGCGCGAGGGCGCTAGAGGAGAGAAAGGATGAAGGTGATGATGACGATGAATGGGTGAATGAGCTTGAACCAGGCCGCATCTGCCCAAATCCCGAAAGTGCAATCTGTGTTTGCAAGCAAAGCTAACCGCAACACCGCACAGGAGACGCGACAACCACTCGTCTAATCTCCAGGAAGCGCGCGACCAGGAAGAGCCTGAGGGCCCTGTGGAGCGCAAGTGGATCACATCATCGCACGCGACACTCCTACGGATGAGGACGAAGTAGTGTCTTTGGTGTGTAGAGATCGGTTTTCGGGTGTTGTGTGGACTTACCCTGCTCTTTCAAAGGACAGTGAAGAAGTAGAGGACGCTTTGAGACACTTCTGTGGTAGGAAGTCCCCCATAGTCAGTGTAGCTAGCGACAGGGCTCCGGAGATCTTGAAGGCAATACGCGACGTAGGGTTCAACTCTGAGCCTGCCGCTCCAAGAGATCCACTGCACAATCCTTTCGCTGAGTCCGCAATCCGAACCACCAAACAGGGAACAGCAACACTGCTGCTTCGATCAGGGCTGCATGTTCGGCACTGGAAGTTCGCACAACGCTGCTTTTTTTTCATTTGTAACGCAACCCTTGAGCCTCCCAAGGCCATACAAGAACTGGCTAAGGAAAAGGGGCAAGCTTTGTCTTCTACCAGGTTCGAGGCCCATTGGAAGTAGCCTTATGAAGGGTATCTGATTCCTTTCGGTGCTTTGGTTTGGTACAAAGACAGAGAGGCCGGTACTTTTGCACCCAAAGGGGAACCAGCTCTGTATCTAGGCCCAGAAGTCATCGATGGCATGCGTTTCAAAGGAGCGCATCAAGTAGTCACTCTTCGGTCTCTCAAGGAGGGGGGGTTTCGAGTAGTGATTACCAAGGACCTCGCTGTTCCCAACGGCAAATGGTCTTTCCCGCTCGCTAAAGCCAAGGCGTTGGATGAGGAGAACCCTCATCACAAGCTTCCCAGCACTGACTCGTTGGCTCCACCTGTAGGGGCGCTTGATGAAGACATTGAGCAGCAAACGTAGGGGTTGACCAAGTTTGACGAAGTTGGTCCGAGGGCCGAAGCAACAGGAGCGGAAGAAACTTCAGCACAGTTTTCCAGAAACAGGGCTATCACCAGGTTGAGAATTGCAGTGCACGGCAAGACTCCCAAGTGTGAGGGCTGCAAAACTGGAAGCTACAACCACAACAAGGCATGTAGGACACGGTTTAATGATTTGCTTGACTTTCATGAGCCGCTCCCTGCCAAAGACAAGGAGGATGAAGAGCTCGAAGACGCTTTTGTCCCTCCAGAAGAGTCTGAGGTTCCTGCTTTTACTCCGCCTTCGACGGCAGGAGAAGAGGTAGGGGAAACCGTCTCAGGCTTAGCCGCTTGTGTTGAGTTGCTTGCAGACCCAAAGGCTCACCAAACTGGAGAGCTGACGCAAGACGAAGCACAGCAACTGTTTCAGGGCCTCCCTCAAGAGACAACTTTTGCGTTGACTGCCAAGGAAAGAAGTTCCAAAGTGAAACAGTCTACAGGCGCAACTTTTGTCGAGTTTTGCTGCTCGAGTCACAGTCAGTTGAAACGAGTTTGTGAGCAGCACCAGATCTCGTATCTAGGCTTGTCTAAAGATTTCGTCGATCTTGAAAACCAAGAGCAGTTTCTGCAGGTTTTAGACTGGGCGCGAGATCAGGCTGAGAGAGGAGAGGTTCTTCACTTGTGGGGTTCCCTTCCTAGTCAGCCCTGGCACAACCTTCGCTCCAACAAAGACTCCAAGCACACAGACACACCAACAGCTTTGAAAAGAGAAAACTCGTTGAGGCTCGTTCAGCACTTCATGTTGTTGGCCAGTGTTGCTGCGGAGTCAGGGGGGTCTGTGTCGTTTGAGTGGCCGAAAAGCTGTTTAGGTTGGTACCAAACAGCGGTGCTTGACATGATCACTCGCTTTGAGTTGCAGTTGTGTCCTCCGACCAGTTGCGGTTTCAGGCTCTGCATCGACGGAAAATATCCGCTGAAGGAGTGGCGTGTGGCTACCAGCCACCCGCGCGTCGCTCAAGAAATGAGCAGGCGGATTGGTCGTCATGAGCATGGTCACAAGCATGATCTGTTGCACGGTGACGTTGCGCAGAGGCCGAACTTGTGTCGCTTGCGGATGGACTTTGCGCTGAAGCACTTCCGGTTCAAGACTTGCTCAGTAATGTGTGTGGACAAACAATACCCATCCGTATCCGTGAAGACAATGAATCGGCAATAACAGTCCTAAAGGCAGGATACTCGGTAAAGCTGAGGGGTTTAGTCAGGACTCAACGCCTTTCCAACGCATCAATCTCTGATCATTTGAAGAGTCATGCAGACGAGATCAGTCTGGAGTACACTTCTACGAAAGATCAACTAGGGGATCTCTTCACCAAGGTTCTGTCTAGGCTGCCTTGTGAAGAGCTTGTTGCGAAGCTCAACACCAAGGTCCTGAACACCAAAGTGCCGTTAGGTCAGCGCGTCGCGCGACTAATGTGCACCGAAGGGACGCTGGACGTTGTTTTCACCAAGGTACTTACCGCATTTTGCGGTTGCTGAAGTCGTTGTGTGTCTCCTCGTCACAGTTATGCCTGCGCGTCGCGCGGCTAACTGAGGGGGTCTTAACTCTTGACCTGCGCGTCGCGCGGTCAGGGAAAGAGCAGCTTAGGACTTGGAGCTGCTGTGACTCTGGCGTCGACGGCTGCAGCTGCAGTGAAGCGGCTGAGCGCTGTTGGCTGGCAAGTGAGGCTGCGTAGGCTTCTGAATCGCTGACGTCACTGCAATAAAGATACGATCCTTGCGGCAAGAGTGGACCAACACCCCAAAACTGGCGGGTGGCGGTGGGCTTGTACAGCGCACGCTGGGGTGGGGGTCCGCTGGCGTCTTCTTTTCAACAGGAGAGGCTCGTATCGCCAACTCAACACGTCGTGAGGGGGGACGAATTGTTCCTCTGAGGATGTGTAGTGTGCAGCTTGAGATACACAACGGGTCGATTTGGCTCAAGACAAAAAAGAAGATCCGTGTGGTGCAATGTGCTTCGAGCGTCTGGCGACTGAAGCTTCAAACACGTACTTCTGTGTCTCTGTCTTTCTGTCTCTCCGTCTCTCTGTCTCTTTGTCTCTCTGTTTTATGTCTCTTTATTCTTTTCCTTCGGCTTTAGACACCCAAGCTTAGGACGCGAAAAACCTTGACCTTACACGATAGTCTTTTGTCTCCTTTAAAGACTCTTTTTGTTCCTTCAGCCTTAAACCCCCAAACCCAGTGCGTGAAGAAAGCCTTGTATGGCCTGTTACGCGGTTTTTTGCCTCCTTACAAAGTAATTGCTTCCTTTTGCTCTGGACCCCAAACCCTGAGGATCTGAACCCGGCGTGAAAAAAGACCCCAAGCGCTAAAGTGATGAGGAGCCTTGTCGGGGTGTGAAAAAGCCCCGCCCGCAAATGAGCCGCTTGGAAACAACCGAAGTAATTACAGTGGCATTTCATGGTAGGGTTTAATAATCTTCGTTGATGGGGCCCGATTTGCTTCTGGCAGCGGAAATTCAGGGTCTCATGGAGAATGCTCGCTGTGTGGATCCGACTATGTTGTTGAATGTTATCGACGACATGTTTCTGTTTTGTTTGGTCGGCACGGAAACTGGGTGCTTGGAAAGAGGAGAAGCGGTGTCATGTTATCGTCAAATCGAGAAAGCTTTGTTAGTGGGGCCGGCCTTGATCGTGGGAGTTTCCAAGATGTCTAGAATGCCCGCGGCGCCTTTGAGCAGTGGCCATCGTGCTAGCGGGTAAGTACTGTTTGTTGCTGGCAAAAGGCGAAACACAGTGGCAGTTCATTGTCAGGTTGAGGAACCTTTGTTGATGCTGCTTCGTTTGATTGTGGGAGTGGAAGGGGCTCTTGAATCGGACCTCGCACGGCGAAATGCAGGCGCTGCTTTTGAGGTTGGTGTGTAGCAGCTGAGGGGCCGGCAGTTCGCCTTCCAACACATTTCTTCGAGATTCATGCCTTTCTCGGTTTCAAACTCCTGCTGCTGAGTTCGAAGATGACGCAGAAGAAGAACCAGAATGCAACAGTACATGACGCGAGCGAACGTACTTGTCTGCTGTTCTCCTTTCCGACGTTGGATGATACTGCTCAGGTTGGCTTGCCTGCTACCAGTCCTTTGATTGTTTCTGTTCCGTTAACGTCTTTTTCGGAAGCAGTGGGATCAAATCGACAAGTCAGAACGTGCCTTGAATCCCAGATGTTCTTTGTAGCCTCCGGCAAACAAAGTCGACCACAAGTTTCAAAGTTGTTGCTACCTGCGCTCAGAAGTCGTTTTGGCTTCCTGTCGTTAGTTGCTGTGCGTTTTGGCATGAACCCCGTTATAGACTAACCTTCCATTGGGTCCCAGGGTGAGCAAATGTGGGGCCCAAGTTGCACACCGCTTTTGTCGTGTGGAAACAGGCTGATGTGACCGCAGCTTTAGGCAGGCTCACACAAAGTTTACCTGGCTTCGGCCGTTTGCAGCCTACCCACGGTATGCTTTGATTGAGGCCATCTTGCTTCTTGCTTGATTGGTTTCGGTGTGCCATCATTATGCTTTGTGCTGGGGCCGACCGGTTTATGCACACCACAGAGCTGTATGGTTGTCACACTAGGCAGATCCAGGCGGTTGCCGATGTCCAATGCTTCCAATGCTGTTTTGATGTGCCAACACAGCTTGTAACAGTTCCAAAATGCCGAGGTGATGGACAACTCCTCCAGGCACTACGAGGTGAGCATATGGGGGAAAGTACCAGGTGATTGTTACAGACTTTTGTGGTCTTGTGGAGCAGATGGCTTTGTTGCCATCTCAGTGTGTCAGGTTCGGTATGAGCTGGACTGTTGAGGGGATATGCAAAGCAGCAGGTGGAGTCGCCGTCATCACCCAGGTGGGTACCGGAACGTGACGTCTGTGTGTTCAGGTATTGCGGCCTCTGCGTGGGTACTCTTCGTGCAGGCAGCGAGCCATTGCGCAGGGAGTTTCGGGTTGTTGTCAAGCTGAGCCTCCAAAGTGAATCCAAATGAGGTTCAGGCTTTGCAACAGCCAGCTATGCAAGGTTCTTGTTGCGGAAACCTGGTGATGCATCAAACGGCACGCCGTGGCACGAGCAGACCCCTGCCACTGCAAGCTGCAGGAAACCTCGAGCTGTGCAGAAGCATTGTCTGGCGTCGAAAAAACTGCTGCACCGACAGGAGCTGCAGACGAAGCCGTGCACTTTCCAATTCCGGGCCGTCATGCAGATGCCACTCGCTGTGGACCATTGAATGGAATCACGCGCGTTGTTGATTCTTGTTTGCTGCCAGGCATCGGATGATTTTCTTGCTTGCTTGGATGGCACGTGCTCTTCGCCAGATGCCCAGGCTTTCTCGCGCTTGATTTGATCGGGCCAGGCCAGCTTCGGCGAGCAGTGGAGGTACCAGTCTAATCAGGTCTCGTTTCAAACTTGCCGAGTGCAAGTGTGCAGGTGTTCAGGCTCTTTCTGCGGCACCTGGAGTGCGGGAGCTTCAGCTCCGTGGCTAAGAGAGGGCTGGCCCAAGGATGTCGCTCTGCACTGTGCGCAGACATCATAGCTTTGGCGCTCAGGTGCGATTGAGGACGCGACCTGCTGCAGCCTCGGGGCCGCTACCTTGGCCACCTGCCCGTGGACCAAGCCATCAGCCTCGACCTCGGCCACTTACTCGGCCTCCTCGCGGAGGACCCATGACCCTCCATGTCGCTATGGCTCGCGACGCGTCGCGGACGACCTCTGCTGGAAAAGGAATTCATGAGTGAGGACGCTGGCTGGGTGGAAGGGAGACCTCGGCTACCGTCCGTTCCTGACATGAGATTTGCATGTCGTCGGACCATGACTCTCGTCTGGTATTGCTGAGGCTTGGATGCTTCGTGGTATCATTGCCGAGGCCATTGATGCCTGAAACTCGGATGAGGGACCTCGAGTTTGCTGCAGCTGTTGTTTCAGGACACGAGGCCATGCCGCCACTGACGCAGGCGGCCAAAGTCTTGCATGCCCTTACGCGGAATTCACGATGAAAGTGAACGCAATTCGCGATGAAAGCAATTCGATTGCAACTAGCCACAGTGTCAATTCTGTGCTTGTCCCTTAGCAGCAAAAATGTGGATTTGCAGTTCCGCGCAGGTTCCTCAAATATGTGTGATAATGTGTTCCATGGCGCCTTAGTTAGTAGCGCTGGCTCGTATAGGTGAGGTCAGGTTTGTAGGCATCAGCCCGGCGACTCGTCGCTTGGACGAGTTTTATACTTAGCGCGAACACTGCTGGAGAGCGTGCCTGCGACTGTGTGACGGGTTGTGCAGGTGCTCGGTTGTAAGGTGGTGCAGGCCTCAGAGTTCTCAGCGCATCAAGCAGCTGCCGGGAAAAGACCGACTATTTTCCGGAGTTCGAACAGACGTCGCTCATGCTCGCAAGGCACTCCCAGTAAATGCCATCCCATAGATTACAACGCCCTTGTCGTCAACCAGTGCAAATTCAAGGACTTGAATCCCTATAGCGTGCTACTGTCTCGTGTGTTGAGCTGCACTCACGGGCTGGTCACTGGCAGACCTGATTAAAGACGAGCTAGGCAGAACCGAAGCAGCTAACCCTAGCCAGATGTGAAGACCCCTGAAGCAGAAACCCTGATCTCCGAGGCCTCGTTTCTTCGCTGCAGGATGCGTGACCAGAGCCAACGGTTTCGCAGCCAACTAATTCGCTGAAATGCCGTACGTGAAGGGTTCCTGCGATGCCACGGTTCCTTTTGCGAAGCGGTTTTTCAGATGATTGTTTAATTCGGATTTGTGATGGGTGCTGCGAGGTCGCGCACCTGTCGCAAAGCCGCTTGATTGCTTTCATAGTTCTGAATTGCAAGTACGTGCAGTGATGTCGTCAGCGGCATCTGTTGCGGCAAAGTGTTTCCAGGAGTGCGAGCCCAGACAGGTAATCACGCTATCCCTACGCAGGGGTGATGCTTGATTGGGGGATTCGGTGATGGCGCAGTCCCTGCGTGATTTGGATGGCACACTTTGCAAAACATGGCTCGTCCCAGGCCGTGAGGAGAGCTAGACGATGCTAGTAAAATCAAACAGTGAAGATGTTTCGCAGTGTTTCCATGCTCCATTCATTTGTGAATGCAGACTGTGACAGCGTAGACCCAAGCAGCACCGCGCCACACAACAACAGCACAATCGTGCAGGCGTTACGGCCGCTGCGAGGATGCGGAAAGGACTTG